ACACACACACACACACACACACACACACACACACACACACACACACACACACACACACACACACACGGGGGACTTTGCGTTTGCACTGACTTCCATTCATTTTCCAGTCATTTCTACAGCCTACCGTTGCCATCTACCCTAAACTTAACCATTACTAGTCTATTCCTGACCTTAACCAAAACTTCATCCATACCTTTAAACCTAACTAGTAGAGCACAGTAGAACAGCAAAAACAAGTGAGGATTAGGAAAATGACCTCACTTTCTAAAAATGACCTAATTTTTTTGGTTAAAAACAACGTCCTCACTCTGTAGCAGAAACAAGTACACACACCAAGGTTATAACAGTTTTGGATTTTTCTTTACAGTTTAGTTTTATTTCGTCGTGACTTTTTTTCTTTAAGTTCAGTTAGTTTTAATTAGTTTTTACAGTGGCTTTGCTAGTTTTTGTTAGTTGTTGCATTTTTAATGCTTAGTTTTAGTTTAGTTTAGTTTTTATTAGTTCTGTWATTAGTGTTTTTATAGTTTGAATAAACATATTTGCCAATGCATCCTCCAGCTTGTGATGTTCCTGTGAGTTAACTAACCAACAGCTATTTGGTCACTAGATAAAGCCGTCCATTATAGTGACACCTTCCTAAAATAAYTGTGTAACTCAATTTTGCCAACTAAGGACTTGRGTGATTATTTTAGGATGAAGACAGTTGTCTCCAACCCGGTGCTGCCTGTTGCTTGTTTTTCACTGGAGCTACTGAGAGATGCGTGTCAAGATAATCATAGTTAGCCATCTTGTGCGAGCCTGATTTATGCAGTTTTTCCCTTGAGAAGCATTCCACCTATTTTATCACCTGTTTCCACTACAAGACACTTGCTTTTAAGTGCACATTGCTGTTTTCTCCCAACTTTTGTTGTYGTCATTTGGCAGACGATGCTGAGCAGCAGAGTGTAAACAAGTGTTGTTACAGACCATGAGGCAGTGGCGGATCTGGGATTTTTCTGAGTAAGGGGTCATCAGGGGGCCACAATATTTRTAGAGGGGCCAAGTATTTGTTCAGCATCCTTGCTCACAAATCCCTTTTTTTAGTAAGGTGTATATATTTAACCAGTCACATGTTTAAACACATATAATGTAATTTTAAAAAAAGCTTGCACTGTAAATTCTCCTTACCAATTTCACATGCATTTTTACAGCACATAGATAAAATACTCTCAAACACACAGCATGTGAGAGAATCCAGCCATCATTTGTGAGTTGAAAGCCTTTTTCTGAAGGATTGTTCAAATTTTAAGAAAAGAAAAAGACTTCTGTCAGCTTGATTCATGCTGGACTTTTTGCCTCTAGTGTTTGGGCATGGAACTGCATCCACCATTATTGCTCTTGAGCAAAGGAGAGATGAGTGACAGGACAGGGGCACTTCAAGGGGCCAATCAAATTTCAGCAGGGGCCAATGCCCCTTTGGCCCCAACCCTAGAACCGCTCCTGGCATGAGGTGCCATAAGCTGCCCACAGCTAATGTGAAAATACTCATTTAAAAACCATTAACAAACACTAAAACTAAGGATATTCTCTCTATAATTTCAGTTAGTTTTAGTTAGTTTTGCAAAAATATTATACAGTTTTAGTTATCATTYTTTCCTTCATTTTATTACAGTTTTTATTTTTATTTATTTCAGTTAACTAAAAGGTTTTTTTCAATTTCAGTTTTCGTTATTTATTTAGTTTTAGTTAACTATTATAACCCTGACACACACTCACACACATCTTTTGGTGAACTTTTAAGACTTACTCAAACTGTTACATATCCAGGCTTCCCTGTTATCTTAAAYATAAATTAGCCCCCCTGCACCCACCCACCCACCACCTTCTGCGTGTTTACAGTTACTTTTTTCCCACCCTTGTTTTTCCACCTCTTCCAGTAAAAAGCACATTTCATAATAATACTCTGCGTGGGTTTTAAGACCCTGCAAATATTTTAATAACGCATTTGTAAACAGCAACGTAATCCCTGACTTTAGTTAAATTAACAGCAGTCTRAATGCAGAGGAGGCGTTGAAATATAACCATGCCATTCATTCTGCCCTCGGGTTTTACTTTAGTCACAGTGAGGTTTGCAGTTTTTTTTTAATTATTTGCTGCCTTGCTTCTTTTAGAAACACACTTACAGCATTTGATCATTTTGGAGCTAATCCGTTTTATCCTGCCCTCAAACCACAAGGATGAGTCATAAACGTAATGTGCCACAACCTTTTCTGTGAGCATGTTTCAGACACTGTGGTTTTAAAGTCCAACATGTGAAAAAGCAGAAGGTGATAATTTGTATCACTGATTTTACAGAAGCCTTGTTATTTATTAAAGCTGCAGTCTGTAACTTTTCTAAAAAATATATTTTAACATATTTGTTCACTCTGTCACTATCACCTGASAGATTGATATTACACAGGTAATWATCACAGAAAAAACTGAAGTCCGCTGGTATGGAGTTAAACCAGTGACAGCCTACATTGATATTGAAATAGAGATTTGACGTTGAAAAATGAAACATTGAAAAATGAAACATTAAAAGATTTTTGCATTGCAACTTTAAAATGCCAAAATCATTTCAATGTTTTTGTTTTCAGTGTTTTATTTTTTCAATGTTTTTTTTTTCATTGTTTCATTTTTCAATGTCAAATCTCTATTTCAATATCAATGTAAGCTGTCACTGGTTTAACTCCATAAGAAACTACATACTGCAGCTTTAAGCTGAAACGAAAAGTCCTGTAGTCTACTGTTCCATCATCATGTGAGCTCTCTTCCTGAAATAGGCCCAAAGCGAGGAAGAGGAGAAACGATGGAAGATGAAGCAGCACCCATTTTCTCCATTCTCATTTTTACACTTTGATGTTTCTATAATCCCTCGCTTGAGTTTTTCTATATTTGGCTTTGAAGCTCCACGACTTAATCCCCCCTCATTCTTCAGCGTAACAAAACTGTTTAAATTGGTCAGGATTTCACAAACACATAAGATTCACCAGCTGGGAGAAGGAGAACAAAAAATGGCAAGTCAGACACTCGAAATCCTGTTTTTTTTTTCTTCTTCTCTCTATTCCTGAATATGCAGAATAATTTGAGTTCCAGATGGAGTTAAATGATTGTTCATGGATGTTTGATACCGTCTGTGTTTCCTGCACGTGTTGCAGGCGAGCGATGCTTTAKATTTATCTGTG